ATCCAAGTACTCATCATGTGTAAACGAAAAGCTAACAAAGTCAACTGAAGGTTAATGTGAGAGGCTAGAAAATCCTTCCTGCCAGCTATTTTCCTTTCAGTCTTAAAGAAACTGAAACCCCAAAGAAGAAATACTGTAAAAAACTTGTTCCTACTGGGCCATCACCTTAGCCCATAAGTAAAAATGGAATCTGTCAACATTCCTGTGGGCAATATAGCCTTCTAGCAAATGCCCCACTGAGCTGACAAATCCTGAGCTGAACCCATTCAAAAGCTGTCTGTCATGACCCCCATACTGTAATAACACCTGAACATTATAAGCTTAAACCCAAATATTTAGCCATCATTTTCCTCCTCCTGAGTATAATAAACCCCCTTGCTGCTACACAGCGTGAAGCGTCCAGTTGTATCACAAAGCATTTGCATTGGAAAGGACAGGGATTTAGCAATGACCAGTAAACCATTCACCCAGCAGTTTTAGGATTGGGGTTTGCAGCATCCAAGTGGAAAGAAATGATGGGATGGAGCAGTAGTCCTGCCTGCTGTGGCTTCAGACTCTGGCTGCTGCTGCTTCACTGAGGTGGGCAGAAAAAGAAAGAAGTAATCTGTCACCAGAACCCTACTTCAAGGGCTATGTCAAGTGCATTAAATGCAAATGAAAATTTATATTAATTAAATTGTAATCACTTCAAAGGCATGGCTATAGATTAATGCCACACTGACATAATGATTTGACTCATCCAACTTGCTAAGAACCTGGAAGCAATGGTCACATCCTTCTTGATGAAATCATTATTACTAATTGACTGGTAAGTTACTTCACTGATTATAACTTTTCAAGCATTTGTAACAGAAACATTGACTGGTTTGAATGAAAGTTCATGTTTTTGTAAGCTCCAGCAGACGAACAAGTGAAAAAGATGGTCTGCACATCTCAGGGCAATGTCCCCAGCACATCATTCCTAGCAGTGAAACTGCAGAACATGCAATTTATACTGAGATCAAAAGGCCTTCACTCTGATAAATCAAACCCGAACAGAAATGACTCACTGGACCCTGCACCCTCACATCAGAAGGATGTCAACAAGGTTGCAGCATATCACATATCCCTTCTCCTAACCCAAGATGAGCACAGACCACATTTTGAGCATACATTTAAATGAGGCAAACCAGACAAGACACAGCAACATGGCCTAAGATCTTTGGAGGCTAAGACAGAAATATTCTGAGGCACAGAAAAACCTCATAACAACTGCTGATCCCCAAAAGGCCTGAAAGACCTTCACAAAAGCTAGCTCATCACCATTCAAGAACCCTGGGTATGTGAAGAGGACTGGGGGCCCACTGTACCTTTGGTTAAAACCCCCAAAATTGGGGTGTGCCTAATCTCCTACCTAGTGCAAACAGCTCTGAGAAAGTATGAAAATACTCTATCAAGTATCAAGGTAGAAAGTATCAAGAATTTTCCACAAGGTTCTTTTTGCAAATAGAAATGGATCCAGTTCACAGCCACACCAAAGCCACAGAAAATGATGCTTCCCTTTTCTTCCACAATCTTGCAACAAGAATTTCCTTTAAATATTCAAGTTTACCTATCAAATTGTTGGAAGAAAATTAAACAAAACAGGAATACTTTTAGAAGGGTATACTTTTTCTTTTATTCAAATAATGCATTTTTTTCTTTAAAAAATAAATTAAAAGGCAAAGACAAAATATAACTGCTGAGAAAACTTGACCTAAATGAATTCTTCCACTATATATTTTGTTTAATACTAAGAATAAACTGGTAGTTATAGCATTAATTGGTCTGACTGCTAAGTTCACGTCACCACTGATGTTTTTATTACTTTGAATAAAGGTACTTACCACTAGAATGAAGGGTACAGAAATAGAAAATAAACCCACCACTAGTGCAGATATATCCCATAGCTCTTCAGCAGTGCATTTAGGTATGTAGTTATGCTGATTTATTTTATCTGTTTCACACCCCTCATGGCTTACTTGGAACACTGTACAGATTAACAAAAAAACTAACTAGAATTGAACTAAAAAATGTCTGAGCAGAGAAAAAAACGTTGAAAGGAAGAAAGAAAGAAAGAAAAAAAGAAAGGAAAGCAACACTAGAAAGGTCAGTGAAGAGTTACTTGTATCTAGGCAAATAAAGTGTTCCAAAATAATTCTCAGAAACTATGTGCAGAAAGTACTTTGTACAAGATACGATGCATCAAACTAAAGGTCACAGCAAAGATGAAAAGGGCAGCTTTCCCAGAAGCTGGAAAAAGAAAAGTTATGCTTTGATACTCTTTCCATTGTCTCAGTCTTTCCAGTACAAAGGTATATAACAAGCCAAATACAATGCTCTTTGAAATTACCTTCTGAGTGGAACATAAAAGCCTTTCCTGCCCCTAATACCAACCATGGGACTCAAGCCAGTAATACTGTAGGGGACTTGGGCAGGAGTCCTCTAGTGAATTGGGATGTTGTGTGTAAAGGCATCACCCTTACTCAACTCACTTATGAGTAGCTGACCACGTGCTCCTTTACTGTAACTTAATTTTTTCTACCAGGGATACAACAGAGACATTTTCTCATCATTCAATCCAGGTTTGTGAAAGGAAATGCAGAATTATGGCTTCTTGCTATCTAGTCCCTACAAAATCAGTATTAGGTTTACAAATGCTGTTTGTCCTAGTTTCAGCTGGGATAGCATTAATTTCTTACAGTAGCTGGGAGGGGGCATGGCCAGACCCTAATGTTATTCAATACCATCTCAGGTCATTGCCAGAGGCAGGGAAAATGACTCCTCTCAGGAGAAGGGCATCCCTTCCGGTCAGAGAGAAGAAAGTGGTTGGAAAGAACAGGTGTTCTATGTAAATAGTTTCTTTGTCTTATACTTTTTGTTATTAATATTGTCACAGTTAATTTTCTTATCTAACTGTTGCGTCCAATAAATCGTTCTTATCTCAACCGGTGATCTTTGCCTTTTGTGCTTCCATTAGGAGGCAGGCAGAAAGGAGTGGGCAATGGGTGTGGTTTTAGCTAAACTACTAAATTGGAGACTACCATCCTAAACCATGACATTGTTGCACTGGGAAAATCCTAGAAATATTACCAGAACATCTGAATATGCATTTGGAACCTTATATGCTCAAAAAAAAAACCCCAAACCCCAACCACTAAATTCCAGGAAACAAATTTATGACTCATGATCAGCATAAAAATAGTAAAGGCTCTATAAATTTGTATTTCTTTTTATCCTCAGAACATATTTCTTTTTATTACTTTTTAGAACTATTTTATTTATTTCTTTTTATCCTCAGATTAGTTTGTAATCCTAAACTTGAGTCCCAAATGTATTATCTTGTAAAATCCATTCAATAGTATGCTTGAGCTCCACCAAACTTCTGCAAAGTTAAACTTCTCACTGTATGTTTATTTTTAGTGATGAGGAATATTTTATTCCCAAGAGATACTAATTCTGTGCATTGCTACTACAAGAAAGCTGGAGAGGGACTCTTTCCAAGGGCATGTAGTGACAGGACAAGGGGATATGGATTTAAACTGAGAGTAGGTTTAAATTAGATATTAAAAAGAAATTCTTTACTTTGGGAGTAGTGAGGCACTGGAACAGGTTGCCCAGAGAAGCTGAGTATGCCCAGTCCCTGGAAGTGTTCAAGGCCAGGTTAGAAGCTTTGAGCAACCTTATCCAGCGGAAGGTGTCCCTGCCCACATCAGGGTGGGTTGGAACTAGCTGATCTTTACTGCCCTTCCAACCAAAGCCATTCCATGACTCTATGAAATAGCCTCTAAAGAATCCTGGTGATACATCACATTAGACTATTTTGATAAAACCAGCACAAACAGATGGATAAGAATAATTAAAAAAAAAAAAAATTCTTTCAAATCAACAATATAAAATTGTCCTTTTAATAAATAATGCCTGAGTATCTGTATTTGCATATTTCCTTATTTCTGAATGTGTTGTTACATTTATCGGAAGAATTTGTCCCATCAATCCATTTGCTCATCTCAGACAGTGTCATGATTCACTCAAAGATATAAAATGCTTTGGAGAGAATTTTGGCTTTAATCATGGGATTAGATTAGTATTTCACAATGACTGCAATGACAGCTGTATTCATCTCTCTCACATACCAGATTCAAAGTCAGAAGCAGATTCTCAGTTTGCAAGCCAGAACATGCTCTGCTGGATATTTACAGCCAACCACTGAAATCCCCAAAACCTATCAATGATGTCAAACAGGACAGAAATAGATCATCTTGCTTGTTTTTCCTAAATAGACCTGCATTTATACAAGAAATAGAAACCTTGAAGAGAAAAATTCTCTTTTATCACTGCCACTATGAAAGCAAAAAACCACTCAACTTTTTTTGAAAGAACCACTTCAAGAAAGGAATCGTGTTTGTGTCGCTTGCTTGATGTTTTATCTCTCCTCTTACATTGTCAGCAACAGTATCAGCTTTTTCTTTTCATTCCAAAGCTTTTTTTTTTCCCCCACATCTACAAGGAGGTTCATCATGACATTTCACATGCCACTAAGTAGATGAATTATGTTTGTAGATGTCAGTGCCTAACACAATTTAACCACCACAAACATGCATTAATGCAGGTCACCTTACAATAATCCACTTACCAGATGGTTTGCAGAACAAAACCAGGAACAGAATCAAAATGAGGAAATACTTTCAGCCTTATTCTTTATCACTGAAGATTTTATTGACTGATAAACGTAAGGATAGGCATCAGATAAAATAGGGAGCTGTTTTCAGAAAGTACCCTATAAAGTGAGCACTGTGACTTCAGACAGCAACAGGCAAAGATTCATTTCAGGAGATTTCAAATTCAAGAAATCCTTCTGTGTTTAATGTTTTCAAGCAATGCTGTTTGTGCCCTACAGAATAAATTTTCTGATCTCCTAACTCAGCAACAAAGTAAGAAGTAGACTTCTAATTAGGAATTAATAAAATAAGAATACTTACGCTGACCCCACCGGCCTGTTCTTGGATTCAAATAATTTGGATAAAGTCCATTAGGACGATCCATTTTTTGAAGTAACTTCCGAATGTGCATGACCTAAATTAAATCAAGAATCAGGTTCACCGCTAACAACGTTCGTCTGCCCTCTGCACATAGTTAAATCTAATCTTTTTTATTTTTCTTTCATTTTTTGTAGCAAATTTTATTAACCTGAACTACAAGCTTTTTTGAGGGCTTTCTTCAGATTTGTATGTTTTTGGTTTTAAAGGACTGCTCACACAAACATGCTTAAAAATAATGATTTTTAAATGTACTCTGAAACAAATAAGAAAACCTGTGTCGTCATATAGTTCTACTCAAAAAAGACATCTATTTGGTAACAGAAATACAAGCATGAAAATATTTACCTGCTACTAAGAATGGAAGTAGAATTCAATATAGAAAGTACTTCCCCTTCAATGCAATTTATGATAAGAAGTATGACAAGAATATTGATTTGAGACTCACCTTGTTGTAATATACAGGGTCCCCTGTCAAATAGCTGAGATGGACAAATTCCATGTGCAGAGTACCAAACTCAGCAAGGATGCTGCTGCCAGCAGAAGCCCAGCCCCAGTTTCGACCAACACCACTGAATTCCAACAAGTACGCATAAAGAAAGGGAAAAAACAACATAAAATTCAGAATTTCTGTGCCCAGCCAAACTACCGAAGCAAATTAAACAAATAACAACAACTTTAACCCACACTTAAGATTACAGGAGTTGTGATTTGATTGATCAGTTGGTTCAATGGTTGGGTCTTTTTAGAACACAGATACCATAACCTCATCATCAGAAAGTCCTATGCTTAAATAATATAATACCATGATGTCACACAAATATGGTGACTTAACACTGGGCTCAATCACAGCTGTTCTTTATTCCCTGCATGTTCCTAGGAACAAGAATCAAGATAAGACAAGTTCTGAAGGTGGCAGCGTTTGCTGCCTTGTCCTGCTGATCTGCTGTGTTCCCTTTACTTGTGTGGGATGTGCTTCCCTATCTTGTGTCTACATAGGAATACAGGATGTTTATTGTAGGCACAATACATTAGTTCCTCAGGCTCACCTAAAGAATCAGCAGAAACTGTCCCATACCTCCTACCTTTTGCACTCTAAGTAACACCATCTTGCTAAATCCTAACTCCTAAATGACCTCTGGTTTAATCTAATCTGGGAGTTTACATCACCTTTCAGGATTGTGTCTTTTATTTTCTGTACTTAACTACATACATCTGAAGATTACTTCTACTTCCTCTCCTAAGAGATTTCAGTTATGTGTAACTGAAATCTTTTCAGAAGTGTACACACAATCTAGATATAAATCCCAATTCAGCTACTGTTTAAGGACATAGTGAAAATGTAAAGAATGCCTTGCATCAAAAATGCTCTCTTAAAATCTGAGGGAAATACTAGCACTGAGCAAACAATACAACATAAATTAGGCAAGGCAGCTGTCTTCCATGGGGAAATGCAGACCATCTAAGTTCAGTCTGATCTAAACAGTCATCTAAAGGAGCTTCTCCATCTGCACAGACCACAGCTGAATTCAGCAAGCCAGACTTTATACCCAAGCTAAAATGTAAAATCAAGTAGTAACTTCACAGTTCTATCATCTTCTCAAATGCTGGGAATCTTCATACAGAAAACCCAGTAAGTTCAACCATGTCCTGCAAACAATTTTGTTTTTTAATAGATTTTGTAATGACTAAAGAAACAATTATTAAGCTCTAGAGCAACACACAGAATAATACATTCAGTGTGGTCCAATGGCAAATTGAATGGTTATTGCATAATAATAAAAAAAAAAAACAGGATCAAAATTTATTGCAGTTAATGAATTAGAATGTGCTGAACTCTATCAAAATTATTTTAACATGCCAGGAATGACAATTTGTCTGCATTTTCTACAGTTCCACTACTAAGAAAAACTAATGTATGCCATTATTAATTTTAAGTTGGAGGGAGGGGGAGGAACACACTTCACAAAAGAAAACTCATTACCTTTTCAGATTCACCATTGCCCATGGTATACCCGTAGGTGTGTTGAAGGCTGGAAGAAGTTTTCCTGCCAGTTGCACTGCTTTGATCTTGAAAACCTAAGATAGTGGGATCAATTGCAAATAGTTACAAAGCCTGACTTATCTCCAAGAACTGTAAAGACTGAAATTTCCTTGCCCCACCTACCTCTTTGTATTAAAAAAGCTTTACGTTGTATAAAACATATTAACTTACAATTTTTTGCCACTTGTTCACTTTATAACTTTCAGTTAGATGTGAGCAGGAAAAGCAAACTTGTCATTTTGATTTCTTTCCTTCCAAGCTCTCCAGCAACAGTTCTTAGATTCCTATTACAGAAGAATATCAGGTCTCCTCCCACCTCCCTCCACCAGTATTAGGAATTTCAAGTGCTTTTTAAAACAGTCTTTAAATCACACCTTGTATTTTCCAGTTAAAAACCAAGACATAACTCTCCTACCCAAATATTTTAATTTTTACAAACTTCCAATGTCTTTTTGAGATTAGTGAAGACAGAGTTCCTATTCTTTTATGAACATGGTCTATGCAAAACCAGACATGCAGTTTCCTCTAGTTTTTCCTTCATCGACAATGCATATGAAAAATAATTACAGGGTTAATCTTCCCTCTCTAGTCTGATCCCTCACAGAAATTACTGACAGGACGAAATCTCAGTCATTTTAGTCATATTTCAGAACACAAATCTGTAATAGCCTCACTCAGAGCCCAATGTTTATTAGACAGACAAGCAATTGGGAGAAAGTTCCTTCTAAGCCTACCTGCAGCATCTTTTCCAAAGGCATATTTGGTGTATCCCCATGGCATGAATCTGCTTTTATCAGTTAGTTGCTAGCATACATTTTAATTAATGCACTTTTAGTATTCACTACATTTCTAGACAAGTACCTCCTTAATCTGGAGATATCATTATTTTCCGGTTTGATGCACCATACAAACCAGTTACAAAAAGAGCTACCACATCCCAGAATAACTTAGGCAATACAGACATAGTACAGAAACATCATCTCTTTGGTGATCAGCAATAGCACACAAAGAAATCTAATGAAGATGCATAAGGGCAGTTTCACATAGGGGAAAATGTCCTTCACGAAGAGAGTGGTCACAGCACCAAGCCTGTCAGAGCTCAAGGAACGTGTGGATGATGCTCTTAGTCATATGGTTCAGTTTTAGCTAGTCCTAAGAGAAGCAGGGGGTTGAATTCCCCAATGCTTAAAGGTCCTTCTAACTTAAGATATTCTACAATTCTATTGTCAACTACCTGACCAATAATCTGTAATCAAAATGAATAAAATCTTTAAGGAGGACTGCAGGGGTTGATTTGTAACATCTGTGGGAAGAAACTTAAGAGATGCTCACTAGAGAAGCAAGCTGAAAAATAAGCAATCAAGAATATCCTTATTTTTCATATGAAGGTGGGGAAAAAACCAGTATCTTAATGTTTGAGGAGTTGACTAGTGAGACATGAAATAAACCAGAAGAGAGTATTAAAGATGACATCTAATTGTATTTGATGCAGTGGAGTATGGAGAGATGAAGGTGAATCTGAAAGCAATGAGCCAGAATAAAGAACTTTTAGAGAGGTTCTCCATATGAATTGTAAGATGGGATATGTCCAAACTAAAAAAGGATATACCTGAGAATATGATTTGACAGAACTGTGCAGCAACAGAGGTAATACAGCTTGAATTATTTTTAGCAAAGAAACTGACAAGAAACAGTCTTTGAGAAAACATGCAGAAATTTAGCAGTGAAATTCATATAACACTTTGACCTCGAATAAAAGACCAATTCAGAACAGGAAAGCATAGTCTAACAGGTGTAATACAGATGGAATCTATGGTAACTGGGGAAAAAAGAAACCCTTAAGAGAACTAAAACCTCAGTCTTGGCCCAGTTGCATAAGAACTATCTCATTTGCATCTATAAATAAGTGTCAAAAATTCATGTTGAACTTGAATTCATGTTTTAGAATTTTAAGTAGTAGATGGGTGAAGACCAGACAGAACTACCTACTGGGAGTCATCTGGAGGGACTCCTTCTACAGTGCAGGCAAGCTTCAACACCTAATCAAAACAAGAATGATGACTTCCAGTGAAATAGTTTGGAAAGACCTTCGTAACATGAATTTGTTTATCTTTAGCTTTAATATCTTGCACCCTCTGGAAGTGCTATGCAGTATCATATTGTTCATTAATAAAAGATACTGAAACCTTAGGGTAAGAATATTCAATGGAAGAACATCCTTAGAAACATCCTCGCTCAAGAATATTCTTAATGACTATTTACATTGCTATCCAGCTTTTAATCAGTTTGAAATGTATCTGAGGAAGGAGTTATTAGCTAGCGTATATGAAGTAGAGGTTGAGCTGATCTAAATGTGAATGATTCTAGACAAGACAGTTAAAGGAAGGCAATCACTGAGAGCCATTTCACCACCAGCAGGAACTGCTAATTCAGACAACCATGCTGTTAGTAGTACCTGCCCAAACTGACTGTGATTAAAGGCACTTTCCTGTCACCTCCATTGGGCTGAGGACTCTTGAGCACCACTGATCTACCATCAGAAGGGTACAACACTCCCTGTCTACATGCCTCTCATCCAAAACTGAATGTACAGAAACAAAAAACTGGTTGAAGGCCTTTACTTTCTATTACTGCTATCTCAGTCCAATCTCACTGCTACTTCTGCACAAAAAAAACACTGAGCTTTGGCACAGTGTTTACCTATGCAGGCTGGAGTAAGAACCAGGAGACAGCTGCATAGGATTTTATCAGAGCCAAGTGACCATATGAGCATTTTTGGAGAGAGGGAAGGAAAAGAAATGTAGAAAGCAGTGGTGAGTGAGGTGCCATTTATGAGAAACTGTAAATGTGTCCAGAGTGTTCTGCTGAGCTCATTAACGTGCCTTCTTCAGCAAGTTTCAAACTTACCATAAGAACAACAGTAAAAGCCTCAGGCTCTAGCTTATAAATAATGTGCTGGTATCAGACAACACCATTACTTATCATGTAATATTTTTACTTTAATTTTTTTTTTTTTAAGTGGGTTGAACTCATAGATTCTATTTCAGCCCTGGCAGTTCCCTGTTGACAGGCAATGCATTTCAAAAATACATAGGCAAGAAGAACAGAAAAGAACAAAATGAATGGGTGCCTTAAAAATAGAGCTCATTAGGAAACAGTACAAGAATTGGGGTTATTTAGTCTACACAAAAGATGTTCAAGAGAGGACAAGATAACGACTTTTCAGTCATTAAAAGGCTAACACAAGTAAAAGGAAATTATATTTTTTCCATGGATATGGAGAACAGAAAATAACACCAAAATGGACCAAGGAAAGGTAAGTTAGTTATTAGGAAAAACTTGAAGATAAGAACAACTACTACTGCAGCATGACTCTGATTGCTGCAAAGCCAGCACTACAGCTTTTAAAAATGCTCTGTACAATACATACAAAGACTTAGATGATTTAACTTTGACAAGGAACAGAAGAATAACAGAATTACTCAGCTGCCTTACCACTCTTCCAGCCATGTTGCTGCATTTTATTTGCACGACAAGGTTTTGGTAGTGGGGGGCCACAAGTGCAGCTTCTATGAGAAGCTGCCAGAAGCTTCCCCATGTCTGGCTGAGCCAATGCCAGCTGGCTCTAGGACAGATCAACCACGGGTCAAGGCTGAGCCCATCAGTGATGGTGGCAGAGCCTCTGGGATAACATAGTTAAGAATGGGGTAAAAAAAAAGCAACCACAGAACAGCTGCCAGAGGAGTGAGAATAAGTCACAGAATCAACCCTGCAGACACCAAGGTCAGTGTAGGAGGGAAAGGAGGTGCTCCAGGCATCAGAGAAGAGATTCCCCTGCAGACCATGGAGGTCCATGGGAGAGCAGAGTTCCACCTGCAGCCCATGGAAGAGCCCCAAATCAGAGCAGGTGGATCCCCAGAGGAGACTGTGACCCCGCAGGAAGCCTACACTAGAGCAGGGTCCTGGCAGTCTTTCATTGCTTTTTTTTTCTCTCCCCTGTCCAGCTGAGGAGGGGAGTGGCAGAGCAGTTTTGATGGGCACCTCCCATCCAGCCAGGGTCAACCCACCACAGCTCCCAAATATGAGATGGCGTGTGCACATTTTGTACATGTAAGAAGAAAATCTTTTGCCTCTCAGGTATGGTATATGTAGACACACACAGCACCTTTCATGAATAACAGAGATCATCTATCCCGAAGTTTCTTTGCTAGCACAAAGCTGCAAGTATAAACTGATCAGAATCTTTCTTAAAGACATCATAACAGCAGTAGCAAGATATCCTACTTTGAAGATGCAAAAATACTTTTCTACATAAACGGGTATTAATCCCAAGGTAGCTGTTCTGCCCATCCTCAAAATACAGACATTCTTCAGAAAAGTTTTAGAAGGCACTGTAGACTTGGAAAAGTGCTTCCATTTTACATGGCAAAATATAATACATTAAAGCCATCAATTTACATGGCCTTTACTAGGCTAATGCTTCTTTCTGCAAATACTGTAAAGCAATGGAGGAATTTTTCCCCCTTTCAAAAACAAATCAAGCTGTTTACAGCTAGAAGGAAAGAGAGTGAAAATTGGCAGAAAAAGCAAAATCTAAACCCCAAATCGGATAAGTGGATCCCTCATTAAGATGAAAACAGCAATCAGTATTTACAAACTAGTATGTACAGCAGACCAGCTGTGAGGGCCTGAATAATTTTCTTCCATTAAATTGATGCTTAACATATCAAACCTGCCACCTAACCCACAATATGAGAGCTTGCTCCTGAGCCTATTAATCCAAGCAAGACCTTTAAACCATTCACAAGAAAAGGCCTTAAAGATTTCAGCAATTCTTCAAAAGCCTTGTTGATGTATCCAGTGACTGCCTAGATGCATGGCTACAGCCCTCAGAAAACAGTATTATGCTAATACTGCTCTTAGGTGTTCCCTTCCAGCACTACGAATGGCAAACAGCACCAAATAGCCTCTGTTCCTAACTCTGAGAGCAATGATAGATGTTTTCTACAAATAAGGATTCTCTTTCATTTATCTG